TTTAGGGTGTCGGGTTCAGGGCTTAGGGTTTAGGGTCTAGGGTTTAGGGTTCAGGGTTTAGGTTTTCCGGTTTTTTAGGGTCTGGGCTATGGTTGGTAAGCTGAAAAAACCCTCAGATTCTCCCGGTAGGACTAAAGTATAATGCCGCCAGACCCTACTCGAATTGCTACGGCCCTTTATACTTGAAGCCTTACAACAATTTGCAATCCATAGACAATTCATAACAACATATAGTCGTAGAAGTCGGCAAAAGCTCATGGTATCGTGAAAGGTCTTCCGCTTGATCCCTGGCGCGACGGGACCGGAGGCCATCGCCGCGGCAAGGGTTCTTCGTGGGTTTAACATGACTAAACCCTCAACCCTAAACCATACTGAAGGAATGACTCATTCGGATTTTTATAATGCATTGAGAGGGACTTCCAGGGTTCCAAAGGGTGATGATCAGGGATGTTTCTCGTGTTCTACAGTTTCATAGGGTGGTTCAGAGGGTCTGCATAATCCTCCATATCAGGATCCAAATTGCCCGACGCCTCATTGAGAGAAGGGGCTTTCTCAATCAGCGATCTACAAGAAATCGGTCGGAGGGATCAAGCTTTGATTCGGGTTTCTAGATCTGCGGGCTCAAACCCTAAACCCCAAAATTGTAGGGGGCGTAATAATTGCCTATACTATGTTGGGAAATCCTCATTCCAACGATAACGTAATATACACCAAAACCCCATTCTTTATCAAGGCCCCTGAACCCTGAACCCTTATAGTGGCCCTCATAGATGCCTTTAAGGAACCCTCGAAAGGAACCCCCAAAGCCTTACTCTATTGTTATGGCCCCTACATTAGGGTTTAGGGTTTAGGGACCCGAAACCCTAAACCTAAAACCCTAAACCCTGAACCCTATACCCTAAACCCTGAACCCTAAACCCCTACATTAGGGTTTAGAGGGTTAGGGCCCTGAGCCGCCAACCCCCAGGGCCTTAGGGCCCTAAAGGCTCAGGCATCAAGGCTTCAGGGGTTGAGGGGTTTAGAATTTAGGGGTTTAGGGGTTTAGGCTTTAGGGATTTAGAGGCTTTGGGTTTCGGGGTTTAGGGGCTTAGACACTTTAAGTAAGCTTTCATTCCTCAATTGGGATATTGATATTGAAGTCTCTGTGTACCTTGTGCACCCTTGAAAGTTAATTTGGCTTCAAAGCTGTGACGAGTCGATGGCCATGCCCAGCAATGGCGGTGTCGATAAAATCTCCGCCTCGAAGAGGAGTGGGAAGGGAAAGCTGAAGGTGAAGGGCAAGCCCAACCGGCTTGCAATCGAGGACGGCTCACCCGATGCCGAGGAGAAGGTCAAGGAGACCGAGGAAGAGAACAAGGCGAAGACACAGTCCATGGTGAGGAAGGCCATGACGACGGTGCACAAGGCGAAGTGCAAGCTCGAGGAAACCCTGGACAAGGTTAAGGGCCCTAAACCCTAAACCCTAAACCCCTAAACCCCTAAACCCCTAAACCCTAAACCCCTAAACCCCTAAACCCCTAAACCCCTAAACCCTAAACCCACTCTCTAAGAAGAGAAAGGCTGAAGCCACCTCCTGGGTGGCGAGCTTGGGAATGAAGAAGTCTCTGAAGTCGGGGGCGAGCCTCGCCGGTCTCAAGAAGGCCCTCGAGGTGACCGCTTACGTTGTCTTCAAAGCTTACCATAGCAGTGCTCGCTACCCCTTGATCGCCCCCCCTGAGCATTCCCGTTTTCGAGACTGTTTGCTGTCTCGTTGTGTTTCAAGGTGGTGGCTGCGCTGCGCAGCCCAGAGATTCTCGCTGAGCTGCGTGAGAAGGAGGTGCAGTGAGAAGGGAGCTGCGATTTTACTTTCGGGGAATCGAGATGCAAGTTCAGAATTCAGTGCAGGGGGTTCTGGGCTTTGGGGAATCCTTGGCACGTAGCGGAACTTCATGGTATGAAGACTATGAAACGTGTACTGTGTACTCGTCACTAGATTCGCGACTCAGGGCTTTTGTATGGGCCTAGGCCTAGGCATGTGGATTCTCAGCGGTGTCGGAATGGGGTAAAGTGATAACAGGATTCAAACGTACTACAGGGGCCTTAATAATTACCTATACTCTTTTTTTGGGGGGGGCTCCTTATTATAACTATAGTATATTGGGCCCCAAAACCCTATTCCACTTATTATGGCCCCAATATAAGACACCGCAACCACCAAGTGGTCGCCATTGAAGACAGCACAGCTGGCAGGAGGGTGCCAGACCCAATACTGGCCTTGGCCTGACATAGACGACACACGCTCGAAGTGTAAACAGCAGAGTTATCCTGAATTTCTAGGACCCTTATTCTTCGGGTTTAGATTAGGGTGTAGGCTTGAATGTATCGTTTGCTTACGTTATTGGGATTCCGACCTGGGGGAGGCAGACAGTGCTGAGATTGGGGCTGGATATCTCTAATAAGCCCACTACCCCTTAATTAAGCAATATACCTTAAACTGTAAGGGGCTTACTGTCATGGCTGAAGGTATATTCCTTAATTAAGGGGTACTGGGCTCTCTGGGTAATTATCCACAAAATCCCTAGGGTTTCTTATCAAAAGGTTATGACGTAACCCCCAAGCCCTGTTCTAGGCTACGATATGAGGTTCAAGTTTGAGCTGCCGCCATGATCAGCAGCACTACACTCTGCATCGCAAACAGCCCTAAGCCCGTAACTGACATTGGCATTGCAGTTTAAGGGTTTAGGGTTTAGGGTTTAGGGTTTAGTTTACCTTTGGCTTAGGAATGTTTAGGAGGTTCTTAGAGTCCCAAAATATCCTTGTCCGTGGCGTTCAACAAGAACCGGATGTGGCCGCATGCGAACTGCTAACTGACATGGCCCTGGTACCTCTAACGTCCTGCAACTAAGCATCATCATTCAAGCAGTCACCGGCAGCGAAAGATTGTCGGAGGCGTGTGTCTTATCGTCTGCCGATCGATTGTGGGCCTCCTTTGTTAGCGGGGTCCCTTCTGGGTCGAGGGAGGACGTTCCATCTCTTTCAAGCATGGGCCTCACATCATCTAAGCTACCTTTATCAAAGAAGCCTTTGTTGAAAGTCTGTAATATATTAATATAGGGGCCTTAATAATTACCTCTACTCTTTTGGGGGTTCTTTGTTCGAATTATAGTATAATGAACCCCAAAACCCTATTGAAATTATTAAGGCCCCTATATTAGACAAAGACCTATGCCCCGTCAGGAGCAACTGCAAGCATCCGGGGCCGAAGGCTGCGCTGCTCGGACGCATTAGCGAAGCTGCAACATGTGTGAAAGGGTTTAGGGTCTAGGGTAGGGTGAGTATGTACATGCATATGTATACTTTCCTCTGCATGTTTTGTAGTGGTGATGCAGACCTGGCAGGAAATAAGTGCATTTTGGCCATACTGCTATGTTGACAAAGTTAAGTGCTAGAAATGTCTGAGCCAAAAGACGGACAGATAGATGCTTGACTCCTCGAACACTAAACCCTATAACCAAAGCTCCTGGAGCCCTAAACCCTCAACCATAGGCACTGAATCATAAGCCCAACCCTAAGGGTCCATGTGCCCAAATAGTAGATACTTTGGCCTTAAAGTTGGGTACTTTGGGGCCAAAGTATCCACTATTCGGGCACATGGACCCTTGGGGCAAGACCCGAAAGGTCTTGAAGCCTTATAAACCCTTGTAGAAGCTTAGACGGACACGAGTAAGGCATTCACAGAACCCATAAGAGCCGTATAAGAACCCTTTCGGAACACACTAATATTATGCAATTCAGCTCAGAGGCTCCAAAACCCCGAAGTTTAGGAGTATCCCATCCCGTAGAAGATAAGAAATCCCGACGGCGTAGAAGATAAGAAATCCCGACGGCATCGTCCTTTATTGAAGGATTTGTGATGCCCTGGGAGCGTTAAAAACCCCAGAACTCCTGAATTCTTGTAGAATCCTTCTTGGATCCCTATGCTGACACACTTATCAAAAAAGGACCCTACCTACGAAGCCCACATAAAAGCCTGCAGAAGACCCTTGTGGAGGCCTTCAAGCAACTTTTTAACTCTAAGCCTTAAACTCTAGAATTTTTCACGGAGCCCTTAGCAGTAACCCATTAAAGGAAAACTTAAAGGCAGCCCGAAAAGTGGACCCTATCGTAGGACCCTATAGTACACTTAAAGTAGGCCCCTATCATAGAACCCTATGCTACCCCTTATTGTCTGGGTCTTTTGTTGGATACAAGTTCACATTTTTGCTATAGTAAAAGCCAACAAGGATTAAGCATGATCATTTTTAATACAGCCCCAACAGGGA